GGCTTTCATGGGACAGTGCCAGTTATTTATGGCTATGAGGCCAGAGGATTTCCCAGATGACCGGGCTCATTTGTAAGTAAAACTTTATCAGTTCGGACTTGGCAGGCAGGACATGTGGGAATGCCAAGAATATTATCAGTTCCAAAGAATTAACTCTGTGAAGTCCGAGCCAGCTTGCCTGCCTGTGTTAGTGTGAGTTTGTACTCTTTCATATTTTGGGAAAGAGGAAAGGCGAGACAGAACACCCACATACCCACATATATGACACAGAGAAACAGATGTATACATGTACATGGCGAGAAAAATGAATCTTGCGAGTTTACCAGACAGATGGCAACACTGCAAGATGCTGAAGAAAATATTACAAAGAAATGTTCTTGCTAACAGCAATTCCTACATTGATACTATATCTGTGAAGCCAAAGGTACAATGTAGATGTAGGCTGAAATTTTAAAAAAATCATTCAATCCACCTGCAAAACCTCAGTAACAATGACATAATGTTGTGTTTGGCTGTCCAAATTACTGTTGAGGCTTTATTATTGACTCTCCTTTAGTCAGCCTGTTCATTTCCAGCTTAATCTCTGTTGCTAGGTTGTTTTGAAGAGAAACTTAAGAATTGCCAGGTGCTTTGAAATTGACAAAATCTTGCTGAATGGCTGAATGAACTGGGGATATCTTGTAGACATTTGTAGTCAACATTTGTAGAAATATCTACATCAGCAGTGTCCTACCCTGGCAACTTTAAGACTTATGGACTTCAACTCCCAGAATTCCTCTGCCACCATGGGTCTTAAAGATGCTAAGATTGGACACCCCTGATATACATCACCATAAACAAATTTTTATTTGAAGGTAAGTACAAGATTATTCATGTGTTCATATTTTCATATGCACACACACATACCACTATTGCGTTTTGGGATAGTCATGAACTTTTTGGACGTAGTTTAGTATTCTTTCAGAAGACTATAAGATTCATATTCAGATATAGCTTGATAGATACGTTAAATCCTTATGGAGTAAGGATTTAATAAAGCAGGAGTACTGGAAATGTTCCCTTCTGCTTCACCCTCTTCTCTATCTCCATGAATGGAATCTGTTAGCTGGGAAGCTTAACTGATGAATAAACATACTATTCTCTGTGTATGATTTATTTATTTATTTTGATTTGTCAATTGCTTACAAGATAATAGGTATAAGTATATACATAGTTATGAATACATGAAATGGGTACATATAAGAAAAATAAAAGAAACAATAGGACAGGGACAGTAGGCACGTTGGTGCATTTATGCACGCCCCCTACAGACCTCTTAGGAAAGGGGTGAGGTCAATAGTAGACAGTCTAAGGTTAAAGTTTTTGGGGTTTGGGGAAGAAACCACAGAGTCAGGTAGAGTATTCCAGACATTGACCACTCTGTTGCTGAAGTCGTATTTCCTGCAATCAAGTTTGGTGCGGTTAACCTTGAGTTTGTATTTATTGTGTGCTCTTGTGTTGTTATGGTTGAAGCTGAAGTATTCATTGACAGGTAAGTCATCGCAATGTATGATTTTATATACCATACTTAGATCAGACCGAAGGTGGCAAAGTTCTAGGTTTTCTAGGTCTAGAATTTCTAAGTCTGGTGGCATAAGGTATTCTGCAACGAGTAGAGGAGTGGAGAACTCTTCTTGTGAAATATTTCTGGACTTTCTCAACTGTGCTAATATCAGATACGTAATGTGGGTTCCAGACTGATGAGCTATATTCGAGTATTGGTCTAGCAAATGTTTTGTATGCTCTAGTTAGTAGTGTGATATTACCAGAGAAAAAGCTATGTAGGATTAGGTTAACAACTCTTAATGCCTTTTTGGCTGTGTAGTTACAGTGGTCTCTAGCACTTAGATCATTAGAGATGAGTATTCCAAGGTCCTTTACAGAGCTTGGATCATCAACAAGGTCTTGACTATTCAGCTTGTATTTTATTTTCTGATTTTTTTTGCCAATATATAAGACAGAGCATTTATTTGTTGAGATTTGAAGTTGCCATTTGTTTGACCATTCTGACACATAGTCAAGATCTTTTTGAAGGGTAGCAGTATTGTCTGTGGTATTGAACAGCTTTACATAATCAGCGAAGAGAACACAGTTGCTCTTAATTTGATCACAGAGGTCATTTATGTAGAGTATGAAGAGAGTTGGTCCTAGAACACTACCTTGGGGGACACCACTATTGACAGGTACAGAATTTGATAGGACGCTCCCAATTTTGACCATTTGTTGTTTGTTTGACAGGAATGCTTCTATCCAGTTATTCAGTTGTCCAGAGATACCAAAAGATTTTACTTTTAGGAGTAGTTTGTCGTGTACCACTGAATCAAAGGCTTTACAGAAGTCTATGTAGATTGCGTCTATTGCTTTGCCCTAATCAAGTTGTATAGTCCATATATTTTTGCAGTGTAAGAGTTGCAGATTACAGGATAGTTTTTTTCTGAAACCAAATTGTTTATTAGAGAGTAGGTTGTTTGTCTCTAAGTGGAGGATTGGTTAATAATTGATTCCATGACTTTACAGGTGATGCAGCATAAGGAGATAGGTCTGTAATTTTCAATTAGGCTGGGCTCTCCCTTTTTGAAGATGGGGATGACTGTGGCTTGTGACCATAGTTTTGGCAAGGAGCTGGTCCTGAAAGATTTTTCAAAGATTATGTTTAGAGGTTCTGCTATGGCAGTGGATAGCTTTTTTAAGAAGTAGGCACATATTCCGTCCGGTCCAATAAATAAAGATGGGTTTAGATATGCCCAAACCGGTCCCACATTACAGAAAATGATTGGTTGGTGGAAGGTGGAGCGGGGAAAGCTGAGGAATCTGCTAGTTACTTTTCTTAAGTTGTCCTGCCTTAATAATAGTCTGTTTTTAATTTGATGAAATAAGGCTAGATAACTGATTAGGATATTTCATGGAGAGGTACGTGGTGATTAGTGGTCAGTGTAACCTGTTTGGGGATGAGTTAACTCCACCCAATCATTTGTGAATTGGTAGTTAAAGACTTATAAGGAGAAAATGGATAGTAAGTGTCTAGCCATTAAAAAAATGTGCAGAATACTGCTTTGGAGTCTGACTTGCCTTGTTCTTGGGGACATAAACCAGAGACATACCTCTCGTAGAATGTGTTATTTGTGGAGTGAGGGAGAGAGATTTTGAATTGAAACTATCCCACTTGCTATAAACAGATGGGGTTCTAATTTAGAGTGCTTGTTTGGCTTACATTTAGAAAGGAAATGCAAGCCAAATAAACATGCTAAATTCTTGGTTTTACATGTTGCATAATTAATGAAGAGTTATTTTTCTAAATTTTTAAATTAGTTGAACAGAACTATTTAACTAGAGAAAATAAGAATAGTAAAATGCATTTAAAACATGTTTCACTGTTACTTCACTTCAATGAATCTTAGATTATCTATATAGATATAGATTATCTATATCTATATATCTATATCTATATCTATATATCTATCTCTATCTCTATCTCTATCTCTATCTCTATCTCTATCTATCTATCTATCTATCTATCTATCTATCTATCTATCTATCTATCT